GACTTATCGCAGTATTGTAAACTTAACAATAGAAATGAGTGTGATTCAAATTATGGGATACACAGATGTCTCTGCTAATCAGGTCTGACCACGTTCAGCAGCAGGGTTTGTTAGGTGTTGCCATCTGCTGAGGATGAGCTATCGTTAGTCTAGCTAAATCTCTGCTGATCTCCTTATCCAGTCCAGAAGAGGGGATTGTTCTTCTGGAGATTCTACAGGATTTAAAGTGTTGGAAATTGTTTAGAATTACTCTCAACCTGGCCTAACCCCTTTGGTTATCATATCTCACTATTCCACTGGCAGATCTTGGCATCAGACAGCAAAAATATTCATATGACTGAACTGATTTGCATGATTTTCTATTTCCATACAGTGCAATTTTCAGTATGGTCCTTTAGACTGAGATTTTTCAAACTGTATTCTAAGATTATAAGCAAACAGCCAATTTTCTAGCACTACAGCTTTGGCTCTGGATCAGGATTTTCAGGAATTTATTTTTAACCACCAGATTCTGTAGTCTGAAAAAATTTGAAAATCCCTTCTTTTGTGTTTTAATTCTTACTACATAAAACTCTTTGTCAGGTAGTACATGGGAGATGAAAATGATTACACATTGTAAGTGCCCTGAAGATTCATTTTTAGATTTCTAAAAATTATGATTTTCTTTTCTAAAGGCAAATAAATACTTTTGGACATGAATGTGAAATTGTAACAACTCTACATCAGGGCTTTTCAACTGGTGGTATGCGTACCACCAGTGGTACGCGAGCACTTGGCTGGTGGTACCCGTAGGACGGGTTGAAAAAAAATGTAAAAGAAAATGTAAAAAAGTGTAAAAGTGGATGAGGTGAACTTGTGGCAAAGTCAGCTGGAACTGCACGTTGCCTGGGTCCTGCTGAGAGCCCAGGATCAAAGCGCGCAGCTCCAGCTGATTGGCGGCGGCCTTGGGGGTAGCAGGCAGCCTCAAGCAGTCTTCAGTGGAGATTCCGCTGGAGCTGCGCGACGCATTGCCTGTGTCCCCCCCGTCCCCACCCAGATGCCCTCACCTCCCCAAGCGTTTTTTTTACTCACCTGCTTTCAGCAGCATTCCCTTTCTCCTGTCCTTTTCAGCCATGTGTTTGTGAGACAAAAAAAGTTCCATGAGACTTTCTAAGTTCTTGTGAGAAGGTAGAACATCTCATGGAACTTTTTTTTTCTTTTTTACCCACAAACACGTGGCGAAGGCAGAGAAGCAAACGAAGGCAGAGAAGCAAAAGGAGAAAGGGAGTGCAGCTGAAAGCAGGTGAGTAAAAAAAATGCTTGGGGGTGGCGAGGGCATCTGGGCGGGGGCGCCAATCTTACCCTGCATGGTGGTGGGAGGGTTAACGGCGGGCACGGGGGGCTCAGGAGGAGCTGCGCAAAGCAGGCAGAGGGGAGGCTGGGCAGATTGTGGGCACCGGCAAGCGAGCGAGATGGGCAGGGGCGCAAATCGGCGTGTGCTCAGAAACGCCGATCTCATGCTCCTGGTCATCTCACTTGCTTGCAGAAAGCTGTAAAGTTTACAGCACCGCCTTTTGGGAGGGGGGAATAAGAATGGGCAAGCTGAGCAGGGCGGGATTGGCAGCTGCGCTTCGTCGCTCCGACCACCGTTAGAGGACATAGGGCGGCCCTCCCTGGCAAGGCCCCGCCCGCTCTTCCCAACACTCTGGCTGCCCTCCGGTTGCTGCCCTCGGCTCTCGTTTGGAGAGCAAAGCCCGTTTTCACCCGCAGGTCAATGCAGCAATGGGGCTGGAGCCCGAAAAGCACCCCTTTGCACCCAGGGAGGGGCTGGAGCTGCTGCAGCTGCATTTCAGCTCGGCACTGAGGAGCCTCCCGGGGTCCAACCTGGTGCTGAGGCTCCGCTGTGCCCGTAAAAGAAATGCCCGGGGCTGCGTGTGGCTCTGGGCTGCGGCTGCAGCAATGAATGAGCCGCTTCCCCACTTGCTGCTTTTCTCCGGCTGCGGACGCGTGCAACACATTAGAGGGAGTCTGGCACCTGCGGCTCTTTCCCCGCCCCTGTGCGCTCCTCCACTGCCTGCGCTCTCCTCCCCCTGCGGAAGAACAGCAGCTATGCTGGGCTCCAGGCTGTACCGAGCGCGACTGCCGCTCCTTTTCAGAGGAAGCAGCCAAGGAGAAGCAGCGGGCAGGAACTGCAGCAGCCACCGTCGCGCAGTCATGTGGCTCAGCAACAGTGGCGGTGGCAGCGGCAGCCAAACTCCAATTGCCTCCTTCGGGCTCTTTTATGCCCTCCCCGCTCCCGTAGCGCTGGACAATGGGAGGGAGGGAAGGAAGGGACAAAGAGAGGATGAAGGAAAGGAAGGAAGGAAGGGAGGGAGGGAGGGAAGGAGGGACAAAGAGGGATGGAAGGAAGAAAGGAACGTAAGAAGGAAGGGACAATGGGAGGGAGAGAGGGAGGAAAGGAATGTGCCCATGTCTGTCCCACCCCCTCCACCAGAGACTCACAGATCCCCCCCACATCCCCTCCCGCACCCCCCATAGGCACCCGCAACCTGAGTAATGAGCTGGCCATGCCCCTCTGGCCATTGACTTTGTTTGTCAAAAAGTTGCAAAAGGTGATCACATGACCCTGGGACACTGTGCCCGTCATAAGTATGAATCAGTTGCCAAGCATCCGAATGTAAATCACATGACCCTGAGGATGCTGCAACAGCATTAAGTGTGAAAAATGGTCATAATTTGCATTTTTCAGTGCCATTGTAACTTCGAACAGTCACTAAGTGAATTGTTGTAAGTCGAGGACTACCTGTACTTTATCATTTTTCCCCCTCCTTTTTTGGTCAAGTTTTTGACACCTTGCTGGGTGACTGGTGGTACTCGGATATTGCCTTATCCTAAAAGTGGTACAATGGGTGAAAAGGTTGAAAAGCCCTGCTCTAGATGAATAAGTGAAGTCAAGATGCTGTTCCAGTGCCTAGAAGCTGTTTGGGTCTGAATAAGGAAGACTATATTTAGGCCCAATCCTAGCATGATAGCGTGGATCTGGCTTTCGAAGCCATCCAATTGCAGGAAAATCCCATTTCTAATTCTGGATAGGGGTCATGGTCCCATACCAAATTGGTTCATAATGTGCGGGCCCCTTTTTACTCATACCTCCTGCTCAGTACAGATGTGACTGGAAAAGCTTTTGCAAATTCCACCCTGCGTGCCAGTTATGATCCTACTCACAAACATTCAAGCCTTGGTCACTGTTTGGATTATATAGATGTGGTTGCCTTTTGAGATTGTCCAGAAGACAGTGCTTTGAGTAGTTATAGGCATATCCTTTCACCCATATAACAGCATTACTTTTAATTGGTTTGACCAGTTACAGTGGATTTCTGGGTGTAATTCAATATGTTGGTTTTCATTTTCAATCCTACACAGCTCAGGATCCAGGTATCTAATACCTACTCCCAATTGTATCTAATACGTTCAGGAAGAGCGGCTCTCTAGCCAACTGATTCCTACATTCTTTGGAACAATACTTTGTCTCTATTCCATTTGGCCCCACCCAGCTGGAATTTAGAAAAAGCCATAAAAATTGGTTCTTTTAGGAAGCCCTGGGAAGATAATGAAAGGAAAGAGGAAAACATCAGAATAGTGACTTTTACCCTGGAATTATTTATATCAGGAAGAAACAAGAATGACTGAAAGCATTGTTAGGATAGGGAACAATAAAATAAATGAGCATCCAAAGGCAGCAAAGGGAATGATTTAAATACAAACTAATATGGAGAAAAAGTTAGCTGAGAGAGAGGAAACTGAGAGAAAAATTATGGGAATGGGAACAAAGTAAATCACAAAAAAGCAGAAACTGGGTTCATGGCAAAGCAGAAAAAGGTTCATCTTAAGAAGCAAGAAGTAGAAAAAATATATACTAATGCAAAACCCAAAAGGCCCTGATCTAACTTCCTGATATGAGTGCAATGAAATATCTCCTTAGCTTATTTTTTAATCAAAAGGGGAAATTCAGAGAAAGGTGACAAACTGCTCTCTTGAAAGGGAGTCTTTGACGGAAATATCTTAAAATATGCTTCTTGTATTCCTCCTCTCAAAGCTTAATAATTAAAATACCCAAACATTTTTTTACTTGAGGGCTTTTACTGGGTACTGATTTAAAATTTCATCTAGAAACAAAATAAAAAAAATAATATTTGTTTATTCTGTCTTAAATGAAGATGAAATGAACATTATATTTTAAGACAAATTTAACCTTTCCTTTCTTTATTTAGGTTACCATAATTTTGGAGTTTGAAAGTATGAGAATGGATGAGCATTTAACAGGCTAACAAAAACAAAAACTAGGATCAGACATTTCCTTCCACAAAGCTAACTGGAATGCTAAAATCAACCTAAAATCTGTGGGCTTTATTCTAGGATAAGAGCCACATTTCTGCAATTGTGAACAGAGAGAAGTATTGAGTTTATATCTTCAATAGTTGCTTTCTACATCCTTTCCAAATATGGAACACTTTCTCTTTTTTCTAAACAGTAGAAAAAGTTAATACAGTCTGTTGGGAACAAACTGGAATCTGGACACAGATAGTTGAGTATGCTAAAGAAAAGCTTGAAGATCACCTATAACGGCTTTTTTTGGAATCTGAAACAAACCTAGCAATTTCCCATCTTGTTTTAGAAATATCTTCATTTCAATACACTTGCTTTGAGTATTTGTAAATAGGCTTAAAAGGCATCATAATGTTGCTCCTTAAGTTATGACTCCTTATGAAGGAGATGGGACACCAAGTTTTAATTGTGCCAAACCACACTGAAAGCAGCTCTTTTATAAATCCGTTGAAAGGCTGCATTGGATATAGCAGAACTGATTTGATACAGCAAACGATTCAGGAGATTTGGGAGTTTAGCTTTCCAGATTGCAGAATCTAGGCTTTGGAGTTGTTTGCAGTCAACTAGCATCTTGCTTTACTCTCATGTTAGTTAAACCTGTGCTCAATCTTTGAACAAAACAGAAGACATCTTACCGAAGAAGCAACTCTTTGGGAAGCTTTTTATTGATCACAGCCTCATCATTATTTGAGAACATCTACAAAATAAAAGCAAAACACACATTAAGTCTTCTGCATTTTCATTATAGATTATATCCTTATCAATACAAATCAATATACAAAAAAATTGGGGAAGGGTTGTACAAAAAATTATTTTTAAATCAAATTGGATTGATAGCTTTTAGATAGTATGTTTGTACGTTTATTTTGAAAAGTAATTTGGAAATATGCTGCAATCACTACTGAGCTGCTGGGACTATGTATAATTTTAAATTATATTATACTTATTTTTTAATCTCTGTAATAGCACTGGGATCATGAACACTATGCACCCCTCATCTCAGGGTTTTTATTTTTTTCTGCTGGAGCATATGGATATGTGCATGTTAGACACAAGTTACTGAGTCTAGGCCAGTGGTGGCGAACCTATGGCACGGGTGCCAGAGGCGGCACTCGGAGCCTTCTCTGTGGGCACTCGCGCCGTCGCCCCAGTCCTAGGCCTTCAGCTGGGTTTTATAAAACCTTTTTGCTTTAGACCTCCGCCGCCGTCTGCAAAAAAAAAAAAAAAAGTTTCAAACAATCAGTCAATTTCAACTTCTCGCAGGAAAAAAAAAGATCTTGCAAAGTTGGAACTGATTGATTGAACTTTTTAGTCCCACCCAGTCTGCCGTTATCACCGCAGCCATGCCCACCCAATGGGCCACACCCAGCCAATGGGCCACACCCAGCCAATGGGCCACACCCACCCGGCACCCGACGATGCATAAGTGGGTTTTGGGTTGCAGTTTGGGCACTCGGTCTCTAAAAGGTTCGCCATCACTGGTCTAGGCAACATTTTTTTTGTATTATACCAGCTGAATAGGCTCTGTTTTCCTTAAAGACAAAACTATTCTTTTGGGGCAGACTGATTATGATCATGAAGCAATGGTGCATTCTCAGAAACTGGAGATCAAACATCTGTCCAAATAAACTTGAAAATACTGGGTCATGTGATATATTAATTCTAACACTGTATTAAAAACTGATCTTTTCAGGTGTTTCAACATATATCTTGCCTTGCCAAATTATGTCCCCAAACTTTGTCTGACTACATACTATTCAGCAAACAACCTCAATTTAAGTAGAGATGAGTCTGGCTATTACCCAGAATCTCCACAAAACATGCCTATGTCACCAGGTAAAATTTCCAGTGGATATGTAATATAACTAGATACATATATCCCTTTTGGTGGCTGATTTAACAGAAAGCAAATTTAAAATGTCCAAGTCTAAAAATGGAAACAAACTTCTAGAAAATAAAACAACAAGAAATAAAAATCACTACAAAACAAAATAAAAGATGACTAAGGTGGGTTAAAATGCTCTCTGCAGAACATTTCTATCTTCCAAGATTTTCCTATATGCACTGAGGGATGGTGCTAGCATGATCTCCATGGCAGGACTGTTTTAGAGGACTGGCACTGCTACTAAATCCTTCTTTATTTTCTAAATGTTAAGGAAACCAAAATAAACATTAAACCAATAAGCAAATCCATGTATAATTTATAACAAAACTTGAGAATGGTTTTTTTTATTATTATTTTTAAAGCAAATATAAGATAAAGACCAGCATGATCAATACTGAGCAAAGCAAAAGTCCCAGTAAATTAGAAATTTAGTGGTTCTGGAGGAGGAGTAACTGGGCTCCACAGTCAGACTACAGCAAACATGATATATATAAAACACTAGTATGGCAAACAAAGATTAATGTAACACTTTCAATGTATTAGCTTTTCTACATTAGGAAGATAACTTTTATTTTAATATATACCTTCACTGGATTCCATCTATCATGTTACTTCTTTAATGATAATTGTTAAACTATTACATATGTCAAAAGAAAATAATGACAAACCACTTACACATTGTTGCCAAGGAAACTATGTGGACATGTTAATGAAATCACCAGGAAATGAGTTCAACCACTACAGGGCAGATTGAGGCATCCTGACTATTGATCTTGTATATGTGTTTTTAATTTGCACAGCAAGAAATGTTTAAGTATTTTAAAATTAACAACAAAAAAGAAATTAAAGCAACTGTTTTTTTACACAATTATAATGGTTATTCTTATTGTCTTCATCAGATTTAAGGAGGAGGATATAAAAGATTTTAATCTTTAGATCACAGCATGACACTTCCTTAAAAGCATTAGAAACTTCAGCTGGATCAAAATGCTACAACGAACTTCTGACTGAGACCAATTTTATGCAGCATGTGATTTCTATCTTATGACTGACTCTTGGGTTACTGGTCACTGAATCCAAAAATAGGATTCAATGAGAAAAATTAAATGTAAATATGTATAGACTGACAATATATGGGAATCAAAATTACTTAATAATGGGCCTTAACAATTGTCAATAGTAATATATTATGTCTGAACTTAATGTTTTCTTCAGTATTAAACTGAACAATGGAGATCCTTCAATCCACCTATTTTGGTTATATGAAATACTGAATAACTGATGTTCAGTGAAGTACAGACAGTCCTCAACTTACAACCATTCATTTAGTGACCATTCAAAATGATTTATGGTTGATTTTTAAACTTACAAACATTGTAGCATTGTCATGGTCACCTGATCAAAATTTGGGCACTAAATAACTGGCATGTATTTATGACAGTTGCACTGTCCCCAGGGTCATGTGATCACCATTTGTAACCTTCCCAGCTGGCTTCCGACAAGCAAAGTCAACAGGGTAAGCCAGATTTGCTTAATGACCATTTTAGCAACAGCACTGATTTCCTTAACAACTGTGGCAAAAAAGGTTATAAAGTGAGGCAAAACTCACATAACTGCCTTGCTTAGCAACAGAAACTTTGGGTCCAATTCTATTTATAAGTTAAGGATTATGTATAAATTATTACTTTTAATTCTTTAGCTCTTTCAACTTGTCTATATTTTACATTTTATAACTATTATATCAAAATTAAGGCTATACTTGATGATGGCTTTACAGAGGGCCCTGACATTTACTATTGGCAAAGGTATGGTAGATACAGAACTCTTTACAATACATTGTTACCTTGTAATATTTACAAAACAAATTACATTCTTTTTTCATTTCCTTATGATTTCTATTATGTTCTCTGATGGAAATATATACAATTCTGCTTAACTGTTTTTAAATGCACTACAGGGTATGATTTTGAAAAACAAAGTTTGTTAAACATGAATTAGCTAAAACACCTGTTTTTAAAATCTCATCTCACTAATAAAAAATGTTCCCAAAACTCTTACAGATAGAGTCTACTTTATCAGTATCTATATTTTTAGGCAGAATGCATAGCAGCTGAAATGCTATTTGGATAATGCTATCAGATAAATATGTTTAGATATTTAAGTATTTTCAGCAGTGGTGCATTTTGGTCCTTTGGATGTTGCTGGGCTACAACTCCCATAATCTCTGACCAATGGCCAGGTTGGTTGTGGCTGATAGGAACTGGAATGTCACCTGGAAAATCAAATCTCTGGTTTATGTACAAAATGAATGTGGCCTTACTATTCATTGTTTGTGGATTTTTTAAAACTGGGATTATACATTATACATCAAACAAATATGAATAGATAATTCATAAATAAAAGATTGCACATTACATTAAGTCATGTTTATTTGGCTAATTTACTTTATAATATAAAAAAGCAAGCTGGTGCTTATTAAGACATATTTTCTCACCTTGGCAACTTTAACATCTGTAGACTTCAACTCCCAGAATTCCCCAGACATCATTCCAGATGTTAACATTTGCCAAGGTTGAGAAACACTGCTCTAAGTCATTAATAATATTTAAATACTCAAATGTTTTGTTTATAAAATATCAAAATGAAGCAATCATGGTTTAATGCAACACAGTATTATCCTAAGACTATTGAGGAAGGATATATAATAGTAAGCTTTAGCTGCTATACTTACAGATCACAATTAGCTATAACATGGCTTGTGGCAGTCTATAAGTACAGCTCACTATAACATAATGATATGTTTAACAAACTACAATTGTGGTAATGTAGCACAATTTAAAATTAGAGAAAATAAAAGCTGTTTTTTTAAAAAAAAATAAGTCATAGTTCCTCTTGATTAACAAATATGTTTCATGTCTGAGATGTATTCTTTCAGATTTCTGTTAAATCTTTTTTCATTAACTTTAAGAAATTAAGTTTCATGAAGAAATTTAAAAGTATTGAAGACACACAAACTGAATGGGATTTTCCTAAAATTAATTACAGGAGACTTTTTGTATGTGCACAATTTTGCAATTTACTGCAATGTCTTTTGAGGTAAAGCTTTTTTTTCTTACTTAGATTGTTCAATAGACAGGTTTATAGCAAAGAACAGTAAATTCAGTGATTCTGGTCATTTCTTTTTCATTGCTCTAGCAAGGATTCCAAAAGTGCTAATCACAATCACTTTTCCTTGTGCTCCCTGCAGCAAGGACAAACATGGAATGAACTGTACCATACTGTGTTACTATATTGTAAAATAAAAAAAATAAATGGTTCCATCTCTTGGAAATTAAATAAATAAAATATAATTTTGTTACAAGTGCTAATGAGAGATACAGCCCAAATGTATTTGCAAAATACTAAGCTAGAGAAGGCTGACTTACATCAAACAGTATGGATTATATCATAAGCTTTATTAAAATCAAAGGGACCTTACTAATAATTATTTTACAGTTCATCAATTTCTGCTGCCCATCAGCACCGAATGGAACTCTCAACTAGGGAAGGAGCAGAACCACAATATAGTGCCCCAATCCCAACAATCTGTGCTCATAACAGAGTAGTCCTGAATACAAGAACATACTTGTGTTGGATCAGATACATTTTTTTACCTTCTTCACTGACGCTCTAGGCATCACTTATTTGTCAAATTTATAAGCTGTCCATGAAGTAACTTTGGTGTATAATAAAACTGGCGTTCTATAAAACTATTTAACAACAATAAATGTAAATAAAACAAGATCATGAGAAGGAAGATGTTTTATATATAA